GTTTCTGAGACTTTTGCAGTGAGTTCATCATTACAAACAGAAATTTGGTGTCCAGGTCTAGTTGCATTAGTAATCATTTCTACACCACTTTTGAATCATGAATACCATCTGCAAATCTGTGCACCACTTAAACAATTATCTCTATAAACTTGTCGCATCTATACAACTGTCTCAGTGGTGCTTTTTCTGAGTTTTAAACATAATTTAATGTTAGCCTTTTCCTCAATGCTGATTTCGTAACAATGCACATTTAACTAGGTCAATAAAATGACGGCTTGTTTGTCGTCTGCTTATCAGGCGGCGATACAAAGATGCCAGATCATATATGAATGTTGCCACTTTGTATTCTATGCTTTGCTTCAAAGATGGCACTTTTGTCTTGGCCGTAATAAAATCAGTATCATTACTTAATTGTCGGACCTTGTATATATATATATGTATATATATATATATATATATATATATATATATATATATATATATATATATGTGTGTGTGTGTGTGTGTGGTGTGTGTGTGTGTGTGTGTGTGTGTAAACGAGCATCCAGACTGACTCTGCCCAAAGTAGTTACCATCAAATATTGTGGGATTTAAAGGCTTGCTGGCCTGACGAATATATCAAATAACAGAGTGCTCAGGGCACCATTGCGGTGGAAATGGACCTTAGCTTTTTTACCAATCTAGTTACTAAGATTGATGATTGTCGTTGGGGCTACGCAGTTTGTGTTCTGTATAACGTTTTTGGAAGACTGCTAGCCATTCTACCGAGAAAGACCGAGTCGTATAGGAAAAAACCTTGTGCAGTAAAGTCAATAGTCCATACTTTGACTTCAACTTTAAAGGAGAATATGCAGTCATTCTGTAAAATCACGTAAGGCAAGACCGTGAATTGATCTACATATGCTGGAGACATAGATAGTTGGGGGGAAAGCGGAACGTGGTTCTGGCCAGTTTCTTACAAAACACAATCAGGTGACAAAATAACGTTGCGAATATAACTCTTTCGTGAGAATCCGACTATACTGGAGACAAGATTTTGGCTATAGAGTCACCGTGTTCGTGTATTTTGTTATGCAGACCTGATAAGGAGAACTAATCAGTGACCCAAGAAACAGTTATTCTTATCAGAAATTATCCAGATTAGAGTTAAAGCAAACGGCAATGCATTTACAATGTACAATGCAATATCGAATAAGCGTTGAATAGACAGATGTGTGACGCAGAATAGTTTATCACACAAGTTGGACTCTAAGTTACATCTGGCTGGTGTATCTGTAGTTCTCAAATAAAGTGAATGCCATGTGAAATTGTTAGTCATATCTATCCACAACATTTTGTCTCGTCTACTTTCAATCGACTCTGACACAGATTATCTTGAATGCCATAATGTTAAACTGCCTAGCATCTTCTCTCCTGTCTCCACCTGTCTCTTTGCCCCTCCACCTTTCCTACCGTCACTATATACTCCAGTTTTCTTCGTCTCATAACATAATCAGAGTATATAGATTGTATATTTCTGATGTGGGCAATCAGTTCTCTTCATGGGTTAGTTTTTTTTTCAAGAAGTCTTCTGTACTCTTTTAACTCTCCAGGGCATTCTCGTCAGTCATCTTTAAAACCATATATCTGAAGCTTCCAAGTATATTTTTTTTAACTTAACTACCAACTTTCCATGATTCACTTCAATATATCACGATATAATGTAGTTTTTAAGAATTCTCTTTCTCGTTTCAATTGGCAAAAAAAAAGATTGCACATTATATATATATATATATATATATATATATATATATATATATATATATATATATATATATATATTTTTTTTTTTTTTTTTTTTTTTTTTTTCATGTTGAAAAATGCAGCCTTCGATGGAGCTATTTTACATTTAACTTCTATAATACATCATCCGTGTGATGTTCAGGGTACCCAAGTACTTAAACCTATCAACGTGCTTAAGGATTGTCCCATTTACTTTGATGTTGCATTTTGGGGGGTTAATTTTCTTTGTAATTACCATTACTACAAACTGAGTAACTGTTACAGGTGTCCTAATTTTGACTTCTCCGGAGATTTAACGGGATATCCTAGATTTGCCTTATTGATCTTTTGTCCACGATCGAATCAGATTGTTTTAAATCTCAGGACGTTATGGTCAACATTCATGTAGCATCCTGGAGGGGACAACATAGGAGATCGATCCTTTCTTTTCTTTTCTAAATGCCTATATATATATATATATATATATATATATATATATATATATATATATATATATATATCTTTTTCAGTGTATAAAGTAGGTCTTTGAACGTGAGGACTGATGGCACATGGCTAGTGTTGTCGCCACATAGTGTGTAGGTCACAGTGTTATTCTTGTCCTGTAAGGGGTGGTGGGGGGGGGGGTAATTTATGACCTGTCGAGAATTCTAACCTGGTTATCCTGCATGTGAGTCTAGTCTTCTTATACGTTCGGCGAGCTGTTCCTCGTCAGCACTTAAAATATTGAAAATCTTTAAAAGCGTTGATGCAGAGGGGAAATAAATCACCACATAAAAATCATCAAAAGCGTTGATATAAAGGCGAAATAACTCAAAATAAAAAAAAAAATTGAGAATCATCTAGAGCGTTGATATAGAGGCGACATAACATATTGAGAATTACCAACATGATATATATAGAGGCGAAAAAACTCAAATGTTAACACTGACAAAGTGCGCAGTTTCCGAAGATATCCGAAAAGTTGAACGAATGTCCAAGTGTCTGGGAAAATAAAAGTTAGCCTTGAGCAAATCAATTATTTAATCAGGGCACGTTTAATAGTTCGGCATGACTGAAAATGGGTAATAAACGGATTTCACTCAACGGGATATTTTTTCAATAAGAGGGGAAAACAAATTATTCCTTACAACAGAAATTCGCTACATCCGAGATCACCTGAAGCATTCTTCTCCATTTATGTCTGTCAATAAGTTCAGATAGCAGTCAGGACGTTACAGATTCTCTTTTATTTCATGTATTCTTGTATTGTCTAATAATCACAAAATATACAAGCAAGACTTTTTTTTTCAGGGAGCTTTCATCGCCATTACGTTTTGCTATGTGAATAAAGAGGTAATTTGTTTCTGTAATAATTATATGTCTGTTTTCATCTAAGATATTTTCATGCCTTGATGTATTTGCATTCTTATTGTGTAATTTTATATTCTGGCTAGTTAAGTACAATTTTTGCATACTTGCCGTTTAACCTCCATATATTTTCTTAGATGAAATCTATATTACTTAATAAAAAACAATAAAGGCTTTTGAAAAAAAAAAGACAGATGGGAGAAAAATAAACAAGTTTAATAAAGTAATAATTTCTTTTTAATGTCTAAAGATAAATAAAGCTGTGCCAAATATTATTCTCTCCACGACTGAGAACGCAAAAACTGTGATTGAAACGATTTTCTAAGTAGAAGCGGATATCTTGATCACAGGCGCAAGAATTTGGAGCAGTATCTGAGATATTAATTGAGCCTTGATAGTCAGAACTGTTGAAATGGAGGGATACAGGTTTGAGAACCTCATAATGAAATCCTTGAGATTTAAGGAAACAATATTGTTGCTTACTACGGGTTTTCCCAATGTATACTGAAAGGGTAGCAGTAGCTGTATCTCAGTACTAAAATAAGAGATGTTAGCATCGCGCTGGCCACTTTTACTTCCTGGGATAATGATTGGCAGTAAATTTAATTTACATAGACCCGAAAGTCTTGCTTATTAATAACAGCTCTGCTCTGGAGGAGATTCGAACACAGGATTAGGCAAGCGTCTAGCCGCTGCACTACTCCTGCTGTCATTTCTAGATGTACTAAACTCACAATACAATACTGACCGCAGCTGCTACTTTTGGGTGTAAGAGAATTTTGAATATCAGCATTATGTCTAATACCGTTTGTATATAACTTATAGTTAATTCAATAATTTTGGCACAGCACCTGCAAGCGAGTTAAAGTTTAAAAAAAAAAATTGAGAATACGCATATTTCCTGTGGAAACTTTTGGATGTGAGTTAGGTATTCTTTCTCAATAATTAAGATACCAATCGGAGCTTCTGGTCTGAAATGCTGCAGACTAATTCTTATAATATAATATAAGTACTAAACAGAAAAAAAATAGTCAACATCCTAAGTGATGTGAGCAATATAGAGAAATGGTTCATAAACAGTATCCTGTCCCACAAGCTAATGTATTGGCTACGATAAACATCATAGTGGAATTGAAAGAACGGTAATAGAGGAAACATTTTCTGGAAAAGAAGGCAGAGGCAGACCTCTAAGAGTGGATACATGACATTACAGATGCACCGGATATAAAAGCACATATGATTGGAAAGTTGGCCGGAGAAAGAGAAACTTCCAAATGGACTGTGGCGACGAGATACGTTATATAAAGAATCTGGTTATTGATAGTGAAGAGTATCAGCAATAACATTTGTTTTATTTTGTATTTTAAACACAAACATTTTGTTAAAAGGCGGCTGAGTGGTCTCCATGTATGGTGTCCGCCTCGAGTGCTTGAGGTCCCGGGTTTAAACCCCGGTGAAGGTTGGGAATTTTTCACGTGGACTTCTAGTAATTGTTCCTGGTTTCAGGGTAGTAAGATGTGACGCCTGTGTATATTCTTGCTCACGTAAAAGAAATCACTTGCCAGTTGGAAATTGAAACTCGAAAAGAGTCGCCTAACAGCGCTGCCCGGGCAAAATTTAAAGTTAAAAATCTACCCGAAGTATTTCAGGATCCTCGCTGGTGCAACGGAGTTCGTACATTGCGATGAGATTATTCAAACTCAGGCTTGAGTTAGAATTACAACGGAGCACCTATGGGTTACACCCGTGCTGCCATGAGGTTGATCAGTCAAATAAACATAAAATATTAACAAAATCTAAAACGCCAGTTGTTTAATGTTAAATGTGCTATTTACTTCACAGGTGCAAGGTTACCTGAAGAGCTCATGCCTACGCCTGCTACGACATAGCGGTAGAAAGGAAATGAATTCGCGCTCCTACACTGTGACAACACAATACATTTCTGAGTATAGCCGTACTCGTTCATCCAACGGAAATAACGACACGGTGGCCCTTAGACCAATCTGCAACTCACAGAGCGGAGAGGCCTTTCTGCCAAAAGAGTCCAGCGTCGAGCTCATCAACGGAAACTTGCATACCATCACTGAAAACGTGGACGAGGACGTCCCGCTAAGTGTGGAAACATGAACCCAACCATAGACAGCACATACAGTGGCTTTTAAAATAACTTCTCTTTTGGCGTTCGCCATTAAAAAGGCAGTTGGCATTTTTGATTGCAGTTTACTGCTTGGCTGTGATATTTACGGCTTTCAACTCAACATGTATAATTTCACTAAACACAAATAAGTAACATTTTTTTTTTTACATAACTGTTGAGCGGCAGTCGGTTCTCCCCCCCCCCCCCCCCCCCTCTCCCACAACCACGAATTAGGCCCTGGAACACGGACGGTAATTCAACTAGCAATACTAATAATGTTATAACCTTTTTTGGACTGTTCATAAGCATCATGTGTCTTGCCCGATGGTATAGGCGTTTATGATTCTTCACAATTCTTGCGTCGTGGGGTTAAGAAACAGGTTTTATTTAACCATTCCCCAAAGCTACCAGTCTTAGATCATCCCTCGCCGTGTGTAGTAGGAGTTGTAGTAGTAGTAGTAGTAGTAGTAGTAGTAGTAGTAGTAGTAGTAGTAGTAGTAGTAGTAGTAGTAGTAGTAGTAGTAGTAGTAGTAGCAGTAGCAGCAGCAGCAGAAGCAGCAGCAGCAGCAGCAGCAGTAGTAGTAGTAGTAGTAGTAGTAGTGGTAGTAATAGTAGTGCTAGTAGCAGTAGTAGTAGTAGTAGTAGTAGTAGTAGTAGTAGTAGTAGTAGTAGTAGTAGTAGTAGTAGTAGTAGTAGTAGAAGTAGTAGTAGTACTAGTTGTTGTAGTAGTGGTAGTAGTAGTAGTAGTTTCACCCCACCAGGACATTACACAAGCGATAAACACTCGATGACACAAAGTACCACCATGTGGATGAGGATCCCCCGTGGAGAGGTCCCAGAAATCGCGTTCAGCCATTAGGCCATACTTATGGCCGGGCTATATTGCGGCCCCTGGCAGGAGCCAGAGTTGGGCTTCAGAATAACGAAAAATTGCATCACACAAGACGAGGACTTATCACATGACTACAGACGAGTGTTTCTTACAGTTACCGCTGAGGTTCTCCATTTATTATAGTTTTTCCGACACTACTTCTTTTCCTTTGGCTGTCCAAGGTATTCATAACATTCATGAAAGTAACCATGTCTCCGCTGCCCTAAGTTCTTCATATTTCACATTCCAGCATTCACTGTCATGCAGCAGAATACAAACGACATAGTTCAGCACTCTTATCTGTTTGTTATTCCTAAATGGACAATACGTTGAGCTCCACATGTGCGGTTGGGACTTTGCAAACATATGTTTACTGATAATCAGAAAGACTTTGTTGAATTCTTATTTGTATAGCAATTTTACCTAGGTATCAGTTAATTTCCAGAATTTTTATTTTGCTATTGTCTAAGAAAGGAAGGCGATACGGGATGGTTTGGTCACAGTGGCATATATTTTATAGTCTAGATAGTGAGTAAAGAGCATACGGAAATAGGGACAATTAAAGAAGATTGTACTACCTGAAAAGCTGCAAGGAAACTTGGTGTGACTGGCGAAAATGAACTACAAAAGTAAAACATTGACTCGTTTAAGGGAATCAGCTCTAATAAATGCTACTAGTCATCAATTACAATATAACAGAAATTCATGGTAACAACAATACAAGGAGAAGATGAAAATTCCGGCCACAAATAGACAATACGAAAACCCAAACGAACGAAAACATTAAAGTGTTTGAATGTGAACTCTAACCGCTTCAATATACTAGAGTAGAAATCAATCTTGAATACAGTCTGGAAGTAACGCATACTATGCCCCACAATCTACATCTGCTAAAAATCAAAGTCTCTGTCTCATAACACTAAAATTGTATAAAACACTGAAAAGAAAGCTGGGTCACTTCTACTACGGCTAGTTTACCCTGAAACAAATACAGCTTTCTATGTGTCAACACTGAAACGCCGATCGAATTCCAGTGTACATTCTGCCAGTTTATTTCTTCTATTCAATCACAGTTATTCAATAGTAGTCATCGCTGTTCACTTTCACAAATATGACACAAAAATTATTTACTCAGCGTCGACTGAACCTAATTAAAACTAAAGTGACGATATCACGACTATCCTCTTCTGACTCTGGTACACAACTGACCACAAGTCAATCTCGGGATTTCCCTCGATTAACCATCCTATCCCTAAGTATCTCGTGCTGTCGTTTGTCGCACGGATTTTCTGCTTGACTTGTGAGCGTGGAGACCGTGCAAGGGAGAGTCATCACAGTGTTTTTGCATATGTGACATAGGAGCACAACTAACAGATATGAAACTTTGTAACAATTTATTGAAAACAAGAGTCAAATGACCGTCTGTTGTAGTACAGCGAGAGAGCGAGAATCAACAATGAAATTCATAGTCGTTAAACTCACCATTGATCAGCTGCATCACATAGATTAATACACTGAAATGGCTCTTTAATATAGAAGGAATTACAGTGAAGTAAAAACTGAGTACTTCAAGAAAGTTAATGGCTGTGGAGAGATAATATCCAGGTAGAAATACAAAAACGTGGAGACACAAACTGGAAAAACAAGGCAAATTACAGAGCTAAACTGAGACTGGCAATATCTGCATAAGAAGAAGAAGAAGAAGAAGAAGAAGAAGAAGAAGAAGAAGAAGAAGAAGAAGAAGAAGAAGAAGAAGAAGAAGAAGAAGAAAAAGAAGAATTACAAGAAGAAGAAGAAGAAGAAGAAGAAGAATTACAAGAAGAAGAAGAAGAAAAAGAAGATAATATGGCGCAAATAAATACAAACCACAAAATATCTTAGGGCGGGGAAGGTGGAGGGGGTAGCTGTTTTAACGTGGTGGAGTTTTTCGTTTTTTAGTGAAGCAAGCGACGTTTTCAAGATACTGAATATCCAGTAAAGCCTTTTTGCAGTTCGATATTTCTTTCTTATTCAGATTCGTTAGCCACACTTCAGTTTCTCATACATTGCAATGTTAGGTAAAATTATATGTTTTTCCTCGTCAGTTTTGGAGCTTGGATATAAATACCCTGAGATTATCAGGAAATAACGATAATTCGTTTTCCCTGTCTTTAGAGTTTCAGTTTAAGCCTATTTTGCCATTCTAATATGTCCGCTAGATCAATCAGTCCTCATCATTCCCGGTTGCACACGAGGCAGAGACAAACTGTTTCCACTCAGTTCGATCCTGAGCCATCCTCTCTATCTCCAGTTTTGCGTAGCCTTGAGTTCAGCCTCAAAAGTTCGACTCCAAGTGCCTATGGGCCTGACTCTTCCTTGCTGTCCCTGTGGTATCCATTGCGTGCCTGTCTCGGTCGTCTCTCTTTCTTTATTCCGAGGACGTGTCCAATTCCCCTCAATCTTCGTTTTTTATTTTTTTTATTTCAAGGTTTACTTCTTCTAAGTCTGTCATTTGTTGTAATCTAGAATTGCTGATTTTATCTTCCCATGTGAACCCCAACAAGTTTTGGAGAAGTCTTCCCTCCAAACCTCTGAGCATGCTCTCTATCTTTCTGTTTGTTTTCGAAATTTCTGTTCCACAAAGGAAAACTGTCCTAACGCATGTTTTGTATATCGTGAGTTTAGTTTTAGTGCTGTAGGTTTTGATCTCCAGACACTCTGAAGTCTGTTGTAAGCAGCATTTGCCTTTGCAATTCTCTGATTGATTTCAACCACTACATCTCCATCCGAGGAGATATTGCTTCCCAGATAAGTGAAGTCAGTCACTGCTTCCAAACCTACATTATCTTTTACTATAGGTCTGTCACTTTTGGGGTTTATCTTCAGCAATTTGGTTTTATTGACATTCTTTAGTCTGCTAGATAAGCACTCCTTATCAGCCAAGCTTAATAATTACAAATAGGCCGCAAGCTCACGTTTCTCTTGTATTCACCAGAATAACTTCATCAAAGTTTGTGAGTATTTTTAAACTTGAAGGAAACGATTGACCCCATTTCCTTTTAAACGCCATTGAGCTTCAGTACAAACAAGAAAAAAACCTGATAAGCAAACATTTCTTTACGTAGAAATTAAAATAAACGGCTCTGTAAGAGCTCCAAGTTCGAAGTAAATTACAATTTATAATCGAATCATGTGCTCTTTGCAAGGGAGCTAGGCGTGTGTACTAGAAAGAGCATATCGGTGAATCATTCAGTAAGTTCCCTTTGTTTGGAAAAAAAAGTATTTTACTCTTTCCTGAAAACCAGATGTATACCATAGCATAGCCGGTGCACCATCTATCAAATACTCTCAGGCGTTTTTCTATTCTAGTCCTCCAAACACACAAAAAGTTATTAATCTTCTGCATCAGTTCAGAAAAACACGAACTGATACAAGCTGTTGAAGATCGCAAATTGTGGAGAGGCATATTCATCGACCCCAATCGGAATTTGACGATAAAGATGATCTCCATAACTTTTTCTTTCGTAGTCGCTTCATGTTAGTCCTCACGTCCTTTTCAGGACGTAATTTTTTGTTATTTGAAGCCCCACTCTGGCTTTTGCCAGGGGCCGCAATATAGGCAGGCCTTAAAAATGGCCAAATGTCTGAACGCGGTTTCTGGGACCTCTCCACGGTGATCCTCATCCACATGGTGGCACGTTGTGTCATCGGGTGTTTATCGCTTGTGTGATGTCCTAGTGGGGTAGAAAGTCACTCACTCACTCACTCGCTTCATGTGCACTAAAAGTAGTAATTCTACTGTGATGCTTTCTTGAAATAAGAATATTATACGAAGACAAACAGATGAGAAAATGAGATGACTTCGTTGACGCATCACCTAAAAAAAAGTAATTAAACTTTGGTTTTATTCACAACTTGCACTTTGACATCCATGGATGTACATCCTTACTTCACTATAAACCCTTACAAACTAACTTTATTATCTTCAAAATGCATGCAGCTCTAGTGTAGTGGCTAGACGTATTTCTCGAATCAAATGGTCGTGAATTCAGGTTCTGGTGGAACCGCTCTTTTTTTTTCCTAGTCCTAAGTGAGTGTCAGATATATTCCTGAAAAGTAAAGGCGGCCGTCGTTATGCTG